ATAATTCTAAAGGCCTTCTTCAAGTTCTTAGCCAAAACTAGGTATCCTCACCTAATATTGATTTCCTTCCTCCTACAATCTCTTTGACCACTTGAAACCTAACCATCTACTCCATAACTCACCTTCACTCCTAACTTAACATTATTCATGGCTTCAATCCCCTTCCATTGCCTGACCTTAAATTATTAAAAGTCACCAACGAACTCTCGAGTTACACTCCCCCTTGCCTAGGTCAACCACCTCCACCTCCATCACCTTACCTATTCAACTACCAACTCTTAAAGGAATCACACATATCAAAGAAGCTCCTAAACAAAGTGGAACTTTGGTAACCTTTCACTGAAGGCCACATCTAATACTTTGGGGTAGATTATTATTGATTGTTTCCTTATTCGACCTTTTCTACTTTAGCCTTGTTCAGATGATGGGTTTCTTCCAATTTTCTGGTTTCTCAATCTCTCAGAAAAGCAGAAATTAACGGCAAATCTGTTAGAATGAGATTCTGAAAGTATAATTTTCTTGTTTTGCTAAAATTGAAGTTGAAAACTTGTTATTGTTGTGAATTCAAGTGTGTTTAATTGAATCATAAAAACAAAGTGTGTTTAATTGAAACATGCAATATTAGACTAAATCCTAGAGGAATTTGAGAAATTAATTGGATATGCATTATTTTAGTATTTTGCAAATTTTGATAACTTTTTGGGGATGATTCTTCTTGTAGTAGTGTGAATCCTGAATCTTTTAATAGCTGATTTCTATCCTTATTCTTTAATCTAAATTATTTAGTGATTGGTTTGTGTGTATGAATAAGATTTTGTCAAGTTTGAGATATCAAATATTTTTATTTTGTGAATCTTATTTGATGCTTGACTTTTATACTTATGCTTAGATTCTTTTGTGGAATTTAATATCTCAGTGTTTTTATATCATCATTTGGAGTGCATAAAAAAGCTTATTCTGATTTTTCATTATAAGAGACAAATCTTTGCATAAATAGAAGTTTGGAAACTATGAATTCTCATATTTCTATTACTTTTTGTTCAGCACATGCTAAGTTTATATTGGTGAACTCCATACCCTGAGATGTCCTACATTAAATTGTTAATAGATATATATATATATTTTTTTTTTTTAAATTGTTAATAGATCTTATGATTACATCACCATGCTCTTTAAATGTGAGACATAAGAAGTGGGTAAAAAAATAAAAAATATCCAATTTACATAAAACTAGATAAATTATGGTTCGAAATGAATGCAGCACAACTATTGTGTTGATAAAAATTACATTGCTATCTTCAATGGGAGATGTAACTTTGGAGAACTTTTAGAATATATTGATAATTTAGAATACTTTAAAGATTACCATTGTTGGATTCTGAATGAGTTGAAATTACTCAAATGAAATTAGTAGGACATGTTCAATTATGTAGGTATAGTTTTGTAAGCAAAATAAAATTGGGCTAACATGAGACATAAATTTAATTAGTAAGATGTATCATTCAAATAATATGAGTTGTAAATAAAATATTTTTAGTGTCTTGAATATAATGATGGGTTTATAGATCTTGTAATTAAATATTGTTCGCCTCAAGACTATTAGTTTTGGTTGAGTGTAGATGCTTTAAAGTATAATTTACTAAGAATCCTAGATGAGGTCTTGACCAGATCTTTGAATATTAAGGCATTCTATGAAAGAATGTTCTTTAAAGCACGCTTTAGGAGCGAAGTGAAGCAACACGCTAGCTCACATATCGCTTGCCTATGAAGCTCAAACTCACAGCAAGATGTGTTTGTTGCATTATTTCCCCGCTTTGCCACGAGCTCAAGGTAAAACATAACAAGTATATTCTTTATTTTTAAGTATTCTTACATTCATTATAGTGCTAAAAAATTATCCATAATGTGGTGTAAGTTTATTAATTAAATAACTAATTTATACATATAATATATGCGCATATGATATAGAAATTATGAATACTCTAATTAGTAAAAATGTAGCTTCACTTTGAGTTTCTCGCATTGAAGCAAAAAAAAAAACCCTTTTCGCATTGTGCTTAATGCTTTCAAAGCAACGCTGCGAGCAATCTCTTAGCACTACCATTCTCGTAATTAAAGTTCAAAATGTGTAATGTTTACCTTCTCATGTTTGTAAAATCTTTATCGACATAAGAATCATGCATAGTCACATCTAATCTTATCAAAGAAATTATTGTTCATAAATGTACTTTTAGAGGTGAAATAGTAGAAGATCTATAGTTACTGATGGATTATTTTAATGTTGTATGTTGTTGAATTTGAATTTGCATTGACATTAGAACCTATCATGAACATGTGCTTATGCTTGAGTAAGATTTATAATTTGAATTTATATTTAATTGACAGATTTTACATTAATAACCCTTTTGAGTTTGAAAGGAAAGAATATATTTTACTTTTAAAACCATACATTTAATTTCAATAACTAAAATTTTTCTGACCATCAATTTAGAATTTTTTATTTTATTGAATATTTTTAATTCTCTATTATTTGAAGATAATTTTAGATCACAAATATTGTGAGTAATTACTTTTTAAAATTTTAGTTTAAGGTTTATAGAAATTTTGAACTAGAATTTCATTTTAATTTTTCTCTAATATAAAATATAACTAAAAAAAATTCTTTTTAATAAGTATATTATATTTAAATTAAAAATAATAATAATTATATGCATTCAATAACGACAAGTTAAATAGAATGGGACACTTATATCCATATGGCTTCACTCCGGTAAATCTAATGATCCTTGATAATTAGTTGGAAACTTGTGTTATAGATATGCGGATTGTTGCACAATTTTCATCTTTAAAAGATATTAGAAGTCTTGCTGAGAAAATAACTCAGAGAAGGAAGGATATTTTATATCCTCTTATTTTCTATCTATTATTAAAATTAGCATTAGTGTTGCCCATTATAATAGGAGTTGAAAGAGTTTATTCTGCAATGACTATTATAAAAAATAAATTACGAAATACAATTGAAGATCAATGGATGAATGATAATTTAGTCCCATATATTGAGAAAAAATATTGAATCTTATTTATGATGAAGTAATCTTTCAACTCTTCTAGAATACAAAAAAGTATGTGTTACACGTAAATTTTTTCTCATCCTCTATTTAGTATTTTATTTTGTTAAAATAATAAATTTAACAAATTATTTTTGTTTTAAATTTGTCAATGTCGGTCCAAAGCTCGGATGAGGAAAGTTGAAGTAATTTTTGAAAAAAATCAAATTGGGCTCTAATTAGAAAAACTTTCTAATTTTGTCACTATAGCTAGCATAAAACTTGTCGAACTAATACACTATATTATTATTTTCTTATAAGCATGCGTATGATGATGATCCTATTAAGAACATGGTATATTCTCTAGTGCTTTGATTACATTGGTGTGTTTGGTTTGCTGCTGCAACTCTTTTTGGTTTAGCCATTGGATTCATTAGTTCAGTTATTTTAGTTTCATGTTCAGCACATGAGTTATCTAGTTTGGCTCAATGGTATGCTCTCTTTAAGTCCCCTTCAATTGTTGGCATATTATTCATTCAGTCGCTGAAAACCAGTTCTCTATGTAGTATTATTTGACCAATTTTTTCATCTTTACGTACCTATACTTTTCTATTAGGAATTTTAATTTGTCAACTGCACTTGTTTATTAGATGGCTGATTTTTGCATATAATCTTATTCCATCATTTTGACCCATATTTTTATAAATTGTAGAAGTGTTTCTTAATAAGAAGTATACAAAATCAGGAACTAAAATTTAATTATACAATTAATTACAATAAATATAGACCAACGGATTGGTGAGATGAAATCCATAAGCACATGGATAAATGAGGTAACATGCATGGAATAAATAGAGCCATGATACTTAGAGGGTAACTGATATGAGCATTAATTGTATATGTTGATACTATTTCGGCTCCTGGATACTGAAGTGGATGACTGTTGGATGTTCTATTATTGAGCTTTTTCTATTGTATTCTTATGCGTTATTGTAGTAGATGACTGCTTGTTGTTTCCTTGTTCAATCTTTCCTCATGAAGCTTTATTTGTCACTGTAGTAAGGGGCATAAATTGGAGGGGAACTTGCCAGAATGAGATTTTGGAAGTGGGAATTTCTTGTTTTGTTAAAATTAAATTTGGAAACTAATTATTCTTGGGATTTAAGTGTGTTGAATTAAAACTTGCAATATTTGGCTAATTCCTGAAAGACTCATAGTAATTACTTATTTTAGGTTATAAAGAGGACCTATTAGGCATGCAAATTATTATTGAATGGTTGACTCTCAATTCTTATGTGTAATGTTGGATGTGATTTCTTCTAGAGCTTTACAAGTCTTGATGATAATTTCTAGGGGATGAGTCTCCTTATAAATGTATGAGCCCTACATTTTCGACTCAATGTATTAGCATCCTTACGTGCATGATCTGATGGATAAACGGTGGATGCATGCATATCAAACTTTGGAAAATAGAACAAATCAAGGAACCCTCTTGATGACATAAATAAATGATCTATTTGTCAACTATTTTAGATTGCTGTTAAGTTTACATATTTCAGATTGTTTTACTCCATGTGATAAGCATGGCTTTATAAATTTATGTCACAAGGGTCAATCCTCATGGAATTAATTCTTGTGGCCTAACTAATACTCAACCAATTGAACCATACTTTGAACAAAAAAAAGAGACATAAAAAAGAACAATATATGCATATGCACACACATGCTTTAATCTAGTCATATCCATATCCCAAGTTCTTAACAATTTTACCATGGTCATGTCTTTATCATATCTATATTGCAGTACATATCCATGCTTCATGAATAATGCCATGTCGCATATGATGAGTTTTACTTATATTTTGCCATGTAACGTAGCGATGCAGCTCTGTATGTATTACCTGGTGTTAGTATTTTGTAATATTCTTGTTAATATATTTCTCTTTGTTACAGATACGGCGCATGTCCTCATGGTGGCTTCGGAGTAGGACTAGAGCGAGTGGTTATGCTCTTCTGCGGTCTTAGCAACATTCGTCAGACCTCGCTCTTCCCTCGTGACCCACAGAGGCTGGTTCCATAACAACAACGTTCTGATCTCTCAATATTTTTCTCTGATCTCCTCGCTTTGCAGGAGATTCAGTTCTAATTTTATGGGCTTGACATAAGATATAATAATTCCATCGTTGAAGGTATTATTTGTGCCATTTTTTGTGAAATAAACTTTCTATATTTTTATTTCTTATATTCTGCTGAATATGTTATTGTGAGGTGATAATTTGATAACTTATATATTCTATTTATAGCAAATTGATTTTCGTTAATCAAAATTATATATATATGTTTATTTATGCTGAAAATATTGGCTTAGATATTGGTGACTTTAATTGTTTAAGAAATTTTGAATTTATATATTCGTCCTTTTTGTTCATTTGAGCTTGCAAATTTTAGCTTTCATCTATTCTTCTTTGAGGTCTTGGTCGTTGTTTATAAAACTTGATATGTGATTATTTGTAACAGGCGTAAAAGTGATTCATCCAGTCATTAGTTTTATGGCAATTCTATCGAAAGAATTGGAATGTTCATATCCTATTTTAGAGAAATTATTATGTGCGGAATCCGATCGGGACAACCGTCCAATGTACTAAGTATACTTAGAAAATACTATATAAATACTCAGCAAAAAAATTTACCAAATATTTGTGTGGTATTTACTAAGTATACTAAGTAAATCGGACGATTGTCCCGATCCAAACTCCGCACAGAATAATTCCTTCCTATTTTAAGGTCTCTTTGAAGGTGGTCTAAACTTCAGTCTGAATTACTCTCAATATGTATTTATGAAGTATTGAGAGAATTGAATTTGAAATATTGGAGAATAAAATGCATGATTCTTTCTTAAATGGCTACTGGATATAACTTGTTTTCATGTTTATATAAAAATGATATAATCTTTCATTAATGCATGTGTGTGTGTGTTTTCTAGTAAAAGTTGGTTCAATTTATTATAAATGATGCGTTCTCTCATAAACCTAGTAATTCAGGTCAACATTCACATTTTTTTATTAGAATTTTGAGGATTCTTTTTTTCTCAGGTGAATATTACTCTTATGGTTTGATTTGGTAAAAGGATAAATACAAAGTAAATTGAAATGCAATATAAATGGAATGTAATGTATTTGAAATATTTTGAATCATTTTGATGGGTTAATAGAGCTGATTCTTTTTTTTTTTTGGTAGTAAAATAAATGTAGTGTAAAGTTTAACAAGGATCATGATTAGTAGTTAGCAGTGATATTCTTTGCGAGTGATCATAGAGGATATTTTTCACATTGTTATTGGTATTCTGATCTTTAAGAGTGATCATAGTGATACTTTTGATAAGAAAATTATTATTTTTTAGTTTTGGTTATCAAGTCAGTCCTGAAATGATGAAATTATTAGTATTGACATTTGAGAACATTTTAGTGATACAATTTCTCTTTGGTTGATATTTGCTGTTAATACGACTATCGTCAAGATTGAAATATTTGAGTTTTATTACATTGGATCTTGTAATCTCTATTTAGTCGTAGAGGATCATTTTAAGTGTTTATATTCTTCATAATGTTTTTTTTTTGGTTGAAGGCATCAATCAATTTGTGCAACTGTGAAATAAAATATTTATTTTGTAAGATTGGCAGATGAGCATTTAGTTTTGGGCTTGCCTCGGTTGGAAATCCTATTTCAATTAGTATTAAATTGACTTATCAAGAAATGGAAGTCTTATCCACTCTATAATCTTGGGGACATTGGGGATTGGACTTCAAAAGATGTGACTTATGATTCTACATCATTGTTAGGATAACTTGCCTGTGAACATGCTCATGTTGATGAATTTAATTTTGAAATAGAGACCTTATAAAAATTTAAAAACGAGTGTCACTTTTTCGAAGTAGATATGTACTTAATGCGAAGTGAAATTTAAGTTGACTTTGTTTCTCATCCATAGAATATTTACAGACAATTAGTTTGAATGTAGAACATATTTGTCATAAATCATGCAGACAAGTTTGGTTTTGGGATTCTTGCATGCTTTTTGATATGCATGTATGATGCACTTGTATGTTTATCGGTGCACTTACATGATATATTTGTATATTTTCAGTGTATTTGTATGATGCACTTGCACATTTTCTTGAGACCCTTAAATGTCATATGGTGTATTTGCATTTTACACCTGCATGCTCTTCAGTGTATTTGTACAAATTTGCATAATTTTTAATGCATTTATATGCTGCATTTGTACGATTATGCTGCATTTACAATATGCACTTACACATTCTTTAGTAATTTGCATGTCGCATTTGTATGCTTCTTGGTGCACTTATATGATGTAAATATTTGAATCTTATAACTTGTATGAATGTTTATTTGTTAGGGTGCATATAGTTTTTTATTTTGAGATTTTAAATACCACATTCTGCCCACTTGTATGTATCTATTGAGAATTTGGTGGTGAATTACATGAGTTGGAACCTTTTCACATGTTTTGTGATGTTATATTTTTTGCCTATCTATGTACATTTTAATGTGGTGGGCCCTACAAGAATTTTAATAAATTAAGAGACGTTGTTGTTCATTTCACTGTCCAAATTTGGGTCATGGATTCTTCAAGGGTTCAAAGTGTTCTTAGAGCGGGGGAGGGTTGTTTACCCCTTGGAGACTAGTTATGGATTTCATTACAAATTCAATGCAAGTTTATTTGTTATTTAATATGCATTTTTTTTTAATTCTCATTTCATAATTTTGGTATTAATTTCATTTTAATTTTAGTCGCATTCATGTCCATAAGTCTCTTATTTGTTGTTCTTTTCATTTTCCAAATTTCAGCAATCTCTTACCGTCTATCATGTGTAGGAGAATCTTTGGAGAGTGATAATATTGCCGCTAAATAATTTAAACTAATATAAGAAAAATAAAGTTCAAAAGAAATATAGAATCTAACAACAAAGTAGGCATAGGCTTTGTTTGAGATAATTTTATTACCGTTTCTTAAAGTAACTATCTAACACAAAAAGTTTAATTTTTAACTAAGAATTTGCTTTAAGAAACAGTGAGAAAGCCATTTCAAACAAAGTCATCATCTATATATAGGGAAGAAGACTTCAAACTAGTTTATTATGTCCACTACCCTTCTATATATAAGAAAGCTTACTCCATGGTAGAATTGGTCCTAATAACAACAAAGCTTGTCCTTCAAGATAATATTCATGAACTCACTCTTCTCGGCAGCACAGTTTTAATATGAACCATAAAAAAGACAATTTAGTCGAATGAAACTCAAATTGGTGAATGAAGTCTTCTAATGGATGTCAGGGTAGAAGGAGGAAGCTTCATTACTCTCATAAAAGCTTGATGGCCCATTTATTCCAACAAATTAATTTGAAGTTGCAAAGAGCTCCAAATCAACTCAGAGGAATAAAAGAATGATGAACATCAGCCGCTCAAGAAAAATTATTCTATCCGGACACCAGAAGTCGTCCGGATTCGAATAAGAGCGCATCACGTCACTCTTTTGTTGTGTACCGTAGTTGTTTATCATTGTGTATCGGGTGATATGGTGCGCTCTGATTCGCCTTCAAGCGATCCGGTGCCCGCACATAATAATCTCTCGCCGCTCAAAGCAATGCTCATAAAATTTGAAAATGGTACAACAGTTCTTAAAAGAAAAAAAAAAAAAATCCATTCCCAAACACCATGTTGTAGGTGTGGGGAAAAGATGGATTCCGTTAGCCAAAAAGTAACGCATGAAGATCAACTAATAGTATCCAGGCTTCCCACGGTTGCTAGTGCAAGAGACTGATGCCGTCCAGAAGGTAGCCCACCAAAGCTAGGGTAAAACAAAAAGGGTAATTTATAAAAAGGAGCAAGTTTTAAAGTTAATTATGTTTAAGAAACAAGTTTATTTATTTATTTTTTTTGTGACGAAGAAGCAGTGTCTTTAGATCATTGAAAACACCGGTGGACCTAATATGCAACTCATATCAATTTACACGGGCCAATACTTAAGGCTTTTATTGCTTGACAAAGAATTTGAATCAGGGATTTGAGCTTTGCCCAACCGGCTCTTCACCACCCGGACAAACAGCGGTGATCAAATATGGAGAAGTAAAGCACACATTCCCTGAATGCAGGAAATTGAATTCCCTAATTAGAATGTGTTGAATGCGGAATTTGGTCTTCCTCATTCAAAAGAATGTAGAAAACTGAATTCCACACTATTGAATGCATATTTTGGTTTTCCACATTCCCCTTTTTTTTTTTTTTTTTTTTTTTTTTTTTTTTATTCATTTGTAAGAAATTTGTATTAATTATGTATTTAAAGTTATTATAACTTGTTATATTTTTAAATAAACTATTGTAATATGATTTAAATTATGCAGTTACAAATAGATGATGATAGTATATATGTAAGTATATTATTTGTAATACTCAACGGTCTATCCATATATGACAGCTCTATAAAAGTAGTTATTATATTGTTGGTGTGGATATTGGATTCTTTTGTTCAAAAATCATTTAGAGCATAAGATCCTTATAATGTTGCCTTATTGTTCATTAATATAATATTATAGGTTGCAACAGTTTATTTTATCAGATGACCTGTAAAGTTGTAAAGTCCGATCAAATCATATTATAATTTTATGCTGCAATTGAAGGTGAGATATGTTTACTCTATGTTATTTAAAATGTGCATAGACATACAAAGTATATTTGTGGAGATTTTACTAGAGTCATTCAAAAGTATATTGGTCGTGTATGGAGAGGCTTCAAGGCATCCCCAACAAGAAATATTTGATGATGTATGCTGAAGAATGCATGCTTATATAACACGGGACGGTGATAGCCTATTGGAGAAAAAGAAGAATACGACTGAGATATTTAGATGTTGCATCTATGAATGGTCAAAAGATGAGAATGATGCCCTCCCAAGTGTGCATACTGAGGTAATGAGGATTAAACTTTATGAGATTAGATATTTTTTAATGCCGCTGGTTGGAAATATCTTCAGATGAGGTTCTTGAAAGATACTTGTTACCTTATTAGTCCTCATTTCTTTCAGATGTGATATCATGAGATTAAACACAAGAAAGATGGCGGACATTCTCCAAATGTTGACTGTAGGAACGTTGATATTAAGGATTGGTAAGACCTTCAGTATGAGTTTGAATTTCATCTCAAATGCTGCCTAACTCAAACACACTCCAAGCACGTCTG